ATTATTTTTGTTAAGTAGTCCACGTATTGGTCGAGTTCTTGTATGTTGTTTATTTTGTGGGAATGATAGTCCCTCCACTTTTTGGCAAACTTCTCTTGAAACAAGTCCCAATTAATATTTTTGTAAATGATATTCCTTTTTTTGGTAATTTGTTGGTTTAATGCGAGCTCCGCCAATATGTAACGGTGATCACTTGCTGATGTTTTCAATAGTGTCTCACAGTTTCTGATTTTGTGGCTTAGGTTGTTTGTATTTATAAATATGTCCGTCCACCCTTCCGCGAATCCAGTATAAAAAGTTGGTTCAGTTGACATGTTAGATGAAACCATGTCTAGCTCATCCATCATGTAATTAATCAATCGTCCTCTTTCGTCCTCCTTTGGGTGATACCATGTTGGCGATTTTGCGTTTGCATCCCCAGTGATGATTATTTCATTTTCTCTAAAATTCCTTACTATGTTCTCTAATTCTTTTATACATTCCCTATCATCTGAGTAGGGTGACAGGTATATGCTTATTAATATAATTGGCTTTTCTTGTTTAATAATAACAGTTGTTATTATGTCATTACTGTATTTAGGAATGAGTGCTACGTCGACATCTTCTTTTCTAATTATTATTCCACTTTTTGGTTTTTTATTTCTACTGTTTGATATCACTCTCCAGTTGCTAAATCGCACTATTTTATTTTTGATGGTATAGGGTTCTTGTATTGTTATTATGTTTACGTCGAGATCATTTGCCGTTTTTATAACTGCCGAACTTGCCGCCTTGCTTTTTTGAGCATTAATCTGTAGAATCTTAATTTTTATTTCCTTGTTTGCTGTCTGTGTTATTGTTAGTTTCCTATTTTGATTGCTAGTATTCCTACAGTCCATAGTCAGTGCGTCGAATAGCTGCTTCCTTGATTCGTTTGGTAATGGGGCAATTTGGATTAAGTGCCCCATGATTTGTTGGGCTTCTCTTATTGTTTGGTTTTTGTTTGTTATCATTATGACAATTGATACAGCAAGGGGGTTCTTTTGTTCTGTCGCAATCGGCAAACCTGTGGTCCTTGCCACAATGACTACAATGTTGCTTGTTTACACACGTTTTAGCCATGTGCCCCGTGCCGCAGCATCTATAGCATCTTATCAATGGTACGAAGTCATCGACCTTTATTGATGCCCATTCCATTGATATGTATTTTTCTCTTATTAATATGTTCCTTATTTGCGGAGAGACAGACAACACAACATGCCTGTAATTTTCTATTTGTCTTCCTCTTGATATAATGGTGCTGATCCTACATTCTGTCTCAAATGTCTCTCTTCCTATCTCATTCCATATGTTATTTTGGTCATAAATGTACGTTAATATTTTATCCTCTTGTATTGTCTTTGGAACATTTAAAAAGATTACTCGGGGTCTACGCCCTTCTGATCTTTTGCATTTAATTTTGTTTTGCATTTCTGGTATGTCGTTTATTGCTTTTTCCAATACCTCACTTTGTTCTCTATTTCCGACTCTGATACATATTCCGTTGTCTTTAACTTCTCTGACCGCTGTTATTTTTATTTTTAGTTTATGGGGTTTTATCTTGCTCTTTAGTTCTTCTGATATTTCTTTCATGTTAATGATTTCCTCATGTTCTTGTTCTTTCGGGTATATGAGCACCGCATGTGAACCACCCGTTCCTTCAGTGTTTAATTTCTGATCGATTGATTTTATTATTTTCTTTGTCGTTTCGCTAGGTTTAATATTTCTCTTAGTGATTTCACTATATGTGGGTTGGGTTACAATTTGCTGTGGTGTTTTATTCTTTCTAACTTCCTTCACAATTGCATTCATTTCATGCAGATATCCAAATAACTTGGCCACTCCTTCCCTAATTTTGATCCTCTCTTTTTGTTTAATGTTAGAACTTGTATTTTCTGGACAGAGTTTCAGTATCATTCCAAGACCCAACAGGGTAGTAGAACCTCCTACTCATTTGTAGTTTTTCATACAAGAAATGATACTTTTGCTTTCATTTTGTAATCTTTTAGTTATATCACTATTACAGTCACCCATGTAAAATTTCATTTGATTCCCAACAACTCCTTGGTAAGCTAATTTTTATGACAATGAGAGTATAAATTTCTATAAGAAAAAGTTCATAGTACAGTAGAAGTTGTTAATCTGGCATCTACAAGATTAGTGTTATCAGATCAAAAATACTAGATTACAAGATATATTTGTATTTGTATAAAATTTGATGCAATCCATGTGCTATCCAAACATTGCAGACATTGTTTACATTTTTTGTATTGACTTGGCCAAAAAGTTCATTTAGTTTTTATATAAATATAAAAAAAACCTTTTTTATTTCCACCAATAACTTTGTTAAACAACATATTCACTATATTGTTCCACTATTTTCTGTCTTTTTTTCAGACAACTTTGTAATTCCATCTTGCCAAAACTTTTTTCTTTTTGAGCAAAAAACTATTCCAGGTGACTTTTAGTCTTCCAGAAAATTGAAATTTTTTTCCATTAAGAGATTAATTTTTTCCATATTTTTCCAATTTGCTCTTTGCAAAATAAATAAAAATCTGAAGAAGCAATGTCTGGTGAATACAGTGTATGAATCAAAACTTCCCAGCAAAGCTGTAACAGTTTTTGCTTGGTCATCAAAGAAACATGCAGTCCTGATAGAAGATTATGCATTTTCTATTGATTAATTCTGGAACTTTTGTCAAGAGCTGCTTTCAGTTGGTCTAATTGGAAGCAATACTTATCAGAATTAATTGCTTGGTTTTCTGGAAGAAGTTCATAATAGAGGATTCCCAATCCCACCATATACACAACGTTACCTTCTTCGTATGAAGACCAGTCTTTGGTGTGGTTGGTGGCAGTTCATTTCTCTTGCCTCATGATCATTTGCCCACATTATTGCAAAGTATCCACTTTTCATCACTCATCACAATTCATTTTAAAAAATAAATCATTTTTGTTACATTTAAGTAGAGAACCTCATGCAAAAATGTGGTCAAGAAAATTTTTTCACTTAACTTATATGGAACCCAAGCATCAAAGTGATTAACATAATCAAACTGGTGCAATGATTTACAACACTTGATTTGGATATTTTGAATATGTTGTCTATCAGCTGTATGGTATAACATTAATTGTTCTCAACTAATGCCTTGATTTGATTGCTATCAACTTCAACTTCCAACCATGGAGCATAATCCAGTGAGAAATCTCCAGTAAAAAATTTCGCAAACAACTTTTGACACATTCAATCAGTCACAGCATTTTCTCCATACTGCATAAATCTTTTGCACTTTAGTTGCATTTTTACCTTTCTTGAAATAATAAAGCATAATATGCTGAAAATGTTATTTTTCTTCTTCCATCTTCAATATTAAAATTCCCACACAAAAATTCATCAATTTTGATTAAGTTTTTTAAATGCAAACTGATATGACAGCTCTCACAATATACCATTTTTGTCAATATCTCTGCTCCACAATACACTGCACAGGTCTCTCACAATATAATCTAATAAAACTGATTCGAATGAAGTTAAAGACAAGTAAGTGGTAGTAGCACCATCTTACAGAAAGAACTAAAAAAATATTTTGGATATAATGATTTGAGAATTAATTATTATTAAAATAATTTCAATAATAATTAATAACAACTTTATGAAAGAAAATTATTTTTACAATAAAAAATATTTGTTACATTATAAAAATGTATATAAACACCTGAAAGCCCAATAATTATATTAAAGCCAAATAATTATGAGATTAAATTAGGCTACATTACTGTTTCTAATAATTATTAAATACCGTGTAATTTGGCATAGAGGTAAGTGTTAGGCACCATCTTGTTTTTAATTTAATAATTATGAGTAAATTAATATTTAATAACTAGTATGGTTATATTTAAATTAAATCTATCTGGAAGTGAGGGATCAAATAAAGGTCTAGGTAGCATAACTAGCAACACATCTGCATGGTAGATGGCAGTTGTGGGTTCAAGTTCCACTCTCACCCAATTCTTTTCTTCCAGAATTTTCTAAATTCAATTATAATTATTGAATTTTAATAAGAAATGGCATCTAATACCTACCTCTAGTGCCAAATTATGCAGTATTTAATAATTATTAGTAGTGGTAATGCAGCCTGATTTAATCTAATAATCATTTGGTTTTATTATAAAAGTGTTTTGTGACATCTTCATATTGAAGTAACACTGATAGTGCCAAATGATCTTCTNGAATGCACCGTTAGTGTCAACAGAAGTCAATCACGTGACTCCTTTCCCATGAAGAATGTATAAAAGCCCGAGCCCCTGGAAGCTCAGAGCAACCAAAGGAAGTTATACTTGTTAATGTGTGCATCTTGTCTCCATACACCAGACATAGCGACCGAAAAGGCATCGCCATACGACAGACCACAACTTTGAACTTCCAACACCACATTCTACAGTTCCTGTGCCAACTACGATTTCGATGGCCCATTCAATGAATGCATATTAGTCATATCCTCGTAGAGGTATTTGTATTTTAGAGCTTTGTGAACTCTCTCTCTCGAAATAGCCGGTAAAGCTGTTAAGAGCAGCTATTTGTATAGTTAACTCATATTTAACCGCATTTAACCTATATATATTGTTATTGTCTTATGTAATCTAGCTTAGTCATTCAATAAATATTTTGTTATTGTTATAACCTGTCATCTATCGTTGTACAGTACCTGCCGACTTACCGATGTTCTCCCCACTCGATTTGCCCTCCTAAGCCATCCGACAATCTGAGATCAGGTTTTACCAACCTGTTGCAGTGTAAGTGGTCAAGAGATATTAACCCTTAGCCCCCTGCTTATCTCACATATATATACACACATATATATATATATATATATTTAAATTATAGATTTATTCCAACTCAATATTAAAAACTAAACAAAATATTTTACAAGCCTAATATTTACATTTTTTAATCTGTTATCATAAATAAAATGGAATCTTACTGTGTATGTAGCTCACAACTGGTTGGGTGAGACCATGACGAGACAATGTCATCAAAACTTCTGCAGCACTTTTTCTCCATACAGTATTATGACTCGGACACCAACTAGTTATAGCACTGAACAACAAAGTTAAATCATCTTTACGAGCTAATTCCTCAGCAGGACATGAATGACTGCAGAGACGAACCAATACCTACAGCACAGTTTAAAAATAAATAAATAATGTAATTACATCATATAAGAACTAGAGAATAAAATAATAATAAAAAATTAATTAGAATCTTTAAGGTTATGCAGATTGAGTAAATTATATACATAAAACTGCTGATGGAAGAGGAAAAAAAACATGAAACATCTGTATTCCAATATGGAGCAACATTATGCTTAATAGTTACGTAAGCTCCACATTTTTGCAAAGGATGCCATTACTACAAGATGATATAGGGGCAAGATTTTGGAACCGCAAGATGCTGTAGGTGCATATTGATGATAATGCACACACAGAGCTGCACTCATCAACGACTTACTTGATAGTAAAGATATTTGCCATGTGGAATGGCCAGCAAGGTCTCTGGATCTAAATCAATAGAGTATATGTAAGATGTTATAGGAAAAGTAGCATCTCATCAGCCTCCACCAGGAACATTCCAAAAGCTTTAACATGCTCTTGTTCAAAAATAAACTTTGCTCCTGAAAGAGCTAATAAACATCCTAATCAACATGAGCAACTGCAGTAAATGATGGAGCAACTTGTGTGCATGCAGGAGGTAACCATATGCCATATTAATTACTATTTGTGCAAAAAAGATTTATGACAATGCTTAGTACTTTTTCTTATTGTTGTAGATTTAATGTAACTTTAGATTAAATTTTTGCTTTTCAATTGTTTCAATGCATAAAATATACAACATTCTGCTTTTATGTTAAGTTCATGCTATTCTGATGAATAGTTCCTGTGATAGAGACCAAATTAATAGTTATGCTTATTTTTTGGACATGAGTATATACAGAGTTTTCACTATATAAAAATAAAAGTTGTACTATTAATTGATTGCTTCTGTTACCAGTTTCTGTGGATTTTTTTTAAGCCTAAAATGTTTTGCTTTTTTTAGTAACTTACATCATACAAGGCACTCTTAGAAACTCTTAAAAACTAAAGAAAGTGTTGTTCAAAATATTAATATGATGCAACAATATAATGTTATATAAAGCATTTCCTGCAGTTGCCAACCGAATTATCAATACATAGGTGAAACCAGAAGAGCTCTAAAAATCAGACTAAGAGAACATTTACATGCTATAAAATATACTTATACTAATTCAACAGTAGCCATACATTGTAATGGGAAGATTGCAAAATCTCACTTGATGATGTTAAAAATTCTAAAAGGAAATTATAAAAAAGAAATTATATGAACATTTAGAAATTATTAAAATAAATGAATATAAAATGAACTTAATTAATTAAATGATGGTCTAACTCAGGGGTGGCCAACAGTTTTTGCCCACAGGCCGAATTGGAAAGAAAACTTTTTCACAGGCTGAACCAGAGGCTGCCCTAGGAAGATTTTTAGTTGGTGCAAGATCTCATTGTGGTGTCACTCCATAGAGACTAAATTGTACATAGAGATTATAGATACGTTTTTCACATTATCATGCTTTATCAACGTTCTATGCTGTACTTAAGAGATTTGTAATGGAGGGTTAACTCTAACTGGACAGCGAGTTGTTTGCCTTCTTTTTTTTTTTAGGTATTAGAATTTTTCATCAAGCTATTTAAACTTGAGTAGCTAATATTGAAAGATTAATCGTGGGCCACATAAATCCATTACATGGGCTACATCCGGCCCAAGGGCCGTATGTTGGCCATGCTTGGTCTAACTATTAGTGAGATCTGGATGTATTTTTGTTGTATTTTTGTCAATTTATGTTGACTTTCACGCAGCGTAATTTGTACAATTTTATAATGGTTTTAAGAGCTTTTAATTTCAACTTTTTAGAATAAAAGTTTTCAAACCCAATTTTTTAATTGTTTATTAGCTTTTATTCAAAAATTTGTTTCTTTTTTTTTAATTTGTTTTAAATCTTACCAATTTGTAATTTTACCTATCTACAAGTAGTAGCAATTTAAATTATTTTTTTTAATTAATTTAAAAAAAATTTTTTTATTTAATTTTTTTTACTTACCTACTTCAATTTTATTTTATACAGCATCTTTTTTTAAACAAATTTTTATAACATATCCAGTTAATTGTTCAATTTTTACTTTCAATTTGTATTCAATAATCAGCTAATGTAAGATGAAAATATTTTTTTGTAAATATTATCTGTAAACACATATGGGTGATGTAATTTATAACTATTATTCATTTTGATAAGATCTGTATAAAAAATAATGACTGAAGAAAAATCATTAAGACCCAAAATGCATATCCACATCCAATAATAAAGTCCATATCAATAAGAGTTCCTTGTGTGATATGTTATTGAGAAAAGCCAAAAATTTTAGGCTTAAAAAAAATTGTAATTTTTTAAAGCCTAGTATGATCAAATGATAATAGCCAGCATAATAAAAGTAACATAAAATTTTAAAGGTTAATATTTATTTCAAAAAAATTCAATATTATTCTTCATCCATTTCATTACTTCTATTTAATTTCAGAATTTAACTAGTCTAATTTGGTAAGCAGAGATATTAAAATGTTACTATAAATAATAACTAAAATGTATGACTAATTTTTGTTAACTTTAAAAAAGATTTAGATGTTTACAAAGTTTCTTCAGCAATGAGGATTGCCTAATTATATATGAGCTTATTGCAAGTAACAACATGCATACTCCAAAGGCCTTGCACAACTACAACATAAAACTTATCTAACCCATAGTGGTACTTATGAGGTTTTCATATGTCAGCAACAATGTATCACTTAAACATCAATACATTTATGAATGATCATTGATTATAGATTCTATACAATCAGTTACAAGTAAAAATACCAATTTTAGGAAATAAATATTTTTACATCAATAAATGGCCAATTGGTAGTTTGAGATAATTATTTAAATATTAGTTCATTGACAATATGATACTGGTGTAAAAATATAAATTTACATTATTATATGAAGAGATTATAAACATTTCTTTATGAATTTTCATATACATTCATATCAGAAAAGAACATTTGTCAGATTATGTAACAGAATTAAACTGTAGAACATGTGTCATTTTTCATAGAAACTAGCCGCTGTAGTTAATTTGCTGAATTAATCAATGCACCTTTAATTAACAGGGAATGAAGTTGAAAAAATACTACTTATTTTTGACCTGGTTAATGAATCATCTTCAGACATGGACAGATGAAAGCAGAACACCAGTGTCAGTTAGGAAAAAAGATGTTGTGTATCTGAAGATGGCCATTTAAATGTGTCAAAAACATTAGCATGCTTTCAACTTCACCTACTGTTAAAGGTGTATTGATTAATTTTATATACTATTTTTCTATTATAATATACTTGTTTTCAGTTTATAAAATTTATATCTAATAATATTTATATACTAAGTTACAAATTTTACCTGAACAAATACTTTTTGTAATAAAATACGTCTCTCTTTAGGAGTAAATTCACAATCTGGAGCAAGATCATCAGCATTTTCTAATTCTGGTAAATCAAAAAATAAATACAGGCACTTGACTAGTGTTGAAGGTAATGAGGCAGATGTCATAACTTCTACCAATGAGCTATCACCAGCAGCTAGTAGATTGATAGTAGTCAATAACATCCATCCATTGCTCTGCTCTTCTGTACTTTCTATTTCCAAAAATTTTGCAATTGCACAACTTGCCGCTTCTAGAAGAAAATATTTAAAGAAATGTTGCATTTTATAACAGAAAGACAAATTTTAGAACAAAATTATTATAGTTTACCAGAAGTGTTATTCACAAATGAGCAATATAAAAAGTAATACAACAAAAAACCTTTAAATGCACATATAAGGTAATATAAGACTGTTTGTAAGTTTTGCAGAAAAATGAGTAATAGAAATTTGATGCAATGCATTAACAAATTCTGTAAAAATTGGCAAAAATGTTACTAAATAGTTACAGCTGTTGAGTGTCATATGGTAAAGATGCTAAAAAAATGTCATATATATTTGAGTGGCATAAGAGGTTCAAAGAAGGGTGAAAAGATTTGAACAATGATGCCAAAAACAGACAGCAAAAAATACAAACAACAAACATAAATGTGAACAGAATGAGGGCTTTGATGCAATCAAATAGATGATCAGATAATTAAGTATGTAATTAATGACAGAGGAATTACAGATAAATAAGGAAACAATAACACAAATTAAATAATGATAGCAAAGTTTGCACCTTGAATTTTGACAAATAAACCAAAACAGAGGCAGCTTGAATTTGCAATTAATCTTTCTGCAATGCATGTTTAGCAAGTTATTGCAGGTGACAAAACAGAGTGTTTACAGTATGACCCAGAAGCAAAAAAGCATGCAGTATAAAACACTGTGTGAGAAAAGCATGAATGTCATCATCACAGTTCAAGATCATGTTTTATATGTTTTCTGATCATAAGAAGATAGATAGTCTATCATGAATTCATTGAACAGAAACAAATGGTCAATAAAAAATGCTATTTTGAAGTTGCTGAAAAAATTACAAGATTTTATTCAAAGAAAAAGATCTACACTGTAGCCTGACATATAAACCATCCATCATGATACTACCTCAAGCCATAATGTGGTCAGGATTTGTGACTTCCTGTCTAAGACATCAATTACCAAATTGAATCATCCACTTTATTCACTTGACTTCACCTCTTACAATTTCTGGCTCTTCCAAAACTAAAAACTGTCATAAAAGGACAAAGATTTTTAGACATTCTTGAAATCCACTTTAATGTGACAAAGAAACCTAAGAATATTCCAAAAACAGAGTTTCAGTATGTTTCAATGGCAACAGCATCTAACTAAATGCATAGCTCCTAAAAGAGATTACTTCAAAAGTAACAGTAACCACTTGTCACAGGTATGAGCATATTTTTTCTACAGGTGCATTTTGGGAATTAAATTTTCACATCTTATAACTAAAGAGAAAACTTTTGCAAAAGTTTTATCTTTTCTGTAGATAAATTGTACTGTATTGATTATATTTGTTTCATTTTTTAAAAATTATTTTTACAATAAAAAATATTTGTTACATTATAAAAATGTATATAAACACCTGAAAGCCCAATAATTATATTAAAGCCAAATAATTATGAGATTAAATTAGGCTACATTACTGTTTCTAATAATTATTAAATACCGTGTAATTTGGCATAGAGGTAAGTGTTAGGCACCATCTTGTTTTTAATTTAATAATTATGAGTAAATTAATATTTAATAACTAGTATGGTTATATTTAAATTAAATCTATCTGGAAGTGAGGGATCAAATAAAGGTCTAGGTAGCATAACTAGCAACACATCTGCATGGTAGATGGCAGTTGTGGGTTCAAGTTCCACTCTCACCCAATTCTTTTCTTCCAGAATTTTCTAAATTCAATTATAATTATTGAATTTTAATAAGAAATGGCATCTAATACCTACCTCTAGTGCCAAATTATGCAGTATTTAATAATTATTAGTAGTGGTAATGCAGCCTGATTTAATCTAATAATCATTTGGTTTTATTATAAAAGTGTTTTGTGACATCTTCATATTGAAGTAACACTGATAGTGCCAAATGATCTTCTGGATTTTATTGGGCTATATTAAAGCTACTTAATAAACAGAATCAAAGTAATTTGGCTAGATGTAGACAGTCATCACCTCTTGATAAATTTAATAATTAAAAATAAATTAATTTTAAAACTTAATTTAGACTATTCTGAAAGAAAAGAATAGCAACTGCACTACAAGCAGGACTTGAACTCAACTCCTGCTTGTAGTGCAGTTGCAAGTTAAAGTAATAAATCAAGTAAGAAATAAAAATCACCACTAAACTATTTTAATAAATTATAAAAAATTTACATTAAAATACATTTAAGATATAAGAGCAGATTTAGTATTCTGTAAATAAAATTAAATACCTGTACTCTGATTTGAAGCACGTCGTCTTATTTCAGAAACCATTAATCTTGAGACTAGTTGACAGAATGTTAAGGTATCATTGAATTTTTCCATTAGATCACTTGCAGGACAATTACCAAATACCTATGTTAAAATTACATATTGAATTTAAATATATAATTATTCATCTTTAACAATAATAATGTTTTAAATATCAGTATAAAATAATTTCATTACTTTGCAAAATAATGGTAACATATTATAAAGACGTTGCTCTTGTTCTTGTTGATTAAGAGGATGTGGAGGATGGGCTAATTCTACAAATAATTTATGAAGATGCATCAAACCTAATGCTGTATGTTGAGTATTTGGAGGAGGATCTTCACCCATTGCAGCACCACGAGAGTGTCCAACCAAAAGTCTTCTCATAATATTCATTTTTAAAACTATATAATTGTAATAAATTTATGAAATAATTTATATAATTTTTAACTAGTTTTCTCTTTATTTAATAACTTTATTTAGATAATTACTTATAAACTTATCAAAAATGGCAGAAAATTTAATTTTCATAATTAGTATAGCTTATTTTATACTTTTATGTAAAATTATCAATTTTTGAATAAAAGACATATTATAAACAAAACAAATAAGCAATGGATGTCTACTAGATACTGGTTAATTTTACAAGAAGATTAACTTGATAACCTAAAACCAGCAATATGAACATTCACTTTAAAATTTAATTTAAACTATTCCATCTTGAATAGACATTGTCAGGGTAATGTTCGAAAGTAAAACCATACATTTTGTAACAAACTGATTCAAATATGTAGCTGCTTGCTGATTGGTGGAGATGGTTCCAGTGGAAAACACATGGAAACATCAGGGTTTAACCTATCAGATGGTCAAAGTTTTCTCCATTGCATGTGGCATCATGTTGAATTTTCGTTGATGTTAAGCCTAATGAAAATTACACTTTTTTGAAAAGAATAATTGTGGCTATTGTATCATCCAAAATTATGTTTTTATTTTGCACAAACAAAATATTAGTAAATGTAATACCCAAAAAAATTATATCTCAAAAGTTAGTTTTAATATAAAAATTATAATGACTTGCAACATCTAGTTTCAAAAATGTTCCAATGCTAAAATGAGATATCTTGGGTCAACCGGTCAAAGTCAGAGATCATGACCCCGAGATATGTTGGGAATAACACAAGACAGGTTAAGGGAGGTGAAGGTGTATTTTCAATATAGTTGGGAAAGTGTCATCATTGAAGTTGATGGCCACTTTTCTCAAAGATGCATTGTATATGACCATAGGACCATGTAATAGACCATAGGACCATATAATAGACTAGGGGTGGCCAAAACGTGGCGCATGCGCCAAAGTTGGCGCATTAGACGATTACAAGTGGCGCTTCAGTCGGTTCTGAGCAACATTGCCAGATTTGGCTTCATTGCAATTACGAATATTACATAGAAAATTAACTTTTTATAGTTTGTCTTGTCAAGTTCATTTGTTGCACAGTTCGTTGCAATCAACCTGTTGACCTTTTTTATTTTTTTTGCTTGTACGATACACGATACATTCGTGTTCATGTACACCGCTAGTGGCATATAGAACTATTTTATACACTACAACCGCATTTTTCATTGCTTATTCTGTGGAAAAACTGAATTTTCGTCTTATAAATTGAAATACGTAATTAAGGGGTGGCCGAAATTTTTCTCCGCCCCGGGCGGCTAACACTCACGGTACGCCACTGCGCATCTGAACTCGTCTATTAAAAAATTGGCGCATGGTATGCAAAAGGTTGGCCACCCCTGNATGTTTGAAAGATTTCTTTTACCCTTCACAGATCTGTAAGTGGACATCTTATATATATATGAAGCATGCAATACCATAATGCTGTAAATGCCAAAAAAAAGAAACTTTTCAGAAGAGGTAAAAAACATTTTTTTCTAATGAATGAATTCATTTCAATTTTACAATAAAATGGTAAAAAACCCTCAGGGTTACAAATTCTCAGGAATATCAAAACAATGTAAATATAAGTCTCAACATTTTGTGCCAAAAGTCACATGACTTGTACTCTGGCACTTTAAACATTATATTTTCACATAATTCATCTTCAAAATACAGCCACTCCCACTGTCAATATTGCCACAATATTCTTTTGTGGCAGAGAACGTTGCATTTAGAATTCAATTCTTCAGTAAAACATATTTAGAAAAAAATGGCATTTACAACGTTATGGCAATTTCAAGCTTCATATATGTAAATTTTAATATAGTACATTTGCAATTGATAAAATGATATTAGATTTATAAGAAGACATCATTAATTATAAAATTAATGATGTCTTCTTATAAATCTAATATCATTTTATCAATTGCAAATGTACTATATTAAAATTTACATATATGAAGCTTGAAATTGCCATAACGTTGTAAATGCCATTTTTTTCTAAATATGTTTTACTGAAGAATTGAATTCTAAATGCAACGTTCTCTGCCACAAAAGAATATTGTGGCAATATTGACAGTGGGAGTGGCTGTATTTTGAAGATGAATTATGTGAAAATATAATGTTTAAAGTGCCAGAGTACAAGTCATGTGACTTTTGGCACAAAATGTTGAGACTTATATTTACATTGTTTTGATATTCCTGAGAATTTGTAACCCTGAGGGTTTTTTACCATTTTATTGTAAAATTGAAATGAATTCATTCATTAGAAAAAAATGTTTTTTACCTCTTCTGAAAAGTTTCTTTTTTTTGGCATTTACAGCATTATGGTATTGCATGCTTCATATATATATAAGATGTCCACTTACAGATCTGTGAAGGGGTAAAAGAAATCTTTCAAACATTGAATGCATATGGTACATTCTTCTTCCAGTGCTAAATAACCAATACTTAAATATCTATCCAGAAACAAAAGACTAATTCATTTAAAAATTCTACAATAATAAATTAATGCATTCAGTAAAATACAATAAACCATTCAATGAAAGGAATGTGACAATCACAAAGTAATTTGGCAGCAATATGCAAATCTTTCAAGCATCAGATCAAGATGCAAATCACAAAAGTATTCTTGATGAATCATAATGTGACACACAATGCCAATGACTTTTTAAGAGCCAACATAATGTTATCTGTTACAGTAATAATGTCTTATGCTCAAAAACAATATTGTAAATTAGTTATTCTCCTAGCAATGCTGCATGATGATGATGAACTGGAAAGACAGATATGACAAACGTGAAACTGTGACATCAGGAATGCTATGTGCCATTCATAATACCATGCCCGACTATTTACATCTTTGTATTGTCATTGAAGATAGTCATTTTAAAAATGTTCTTTAACAAAATAAAACTGACTTTTTAGTATCAATTTCTGCAATGTTATCTTTATCCTTTATACAGATTATTTGTATGTTGTGCTAAATTATCTTAAGTTGATTCATTTCAGTAATTTAGCAGAGGAAAAAGCATACACAACATGCATACAGCTAAAAAGATGGACAGATGTTTAAGTGGATACCCTGAATGTATACAGTACATATGCAGAAACAGAAGTAGAACAACTTCACTTTGAGACATGGTTGAAAGTTCTAATGTAGACCCCTGCCAACCCCATCTTCACCTTAAAAGATGGGACTTGCATTCCCAAAGAAAGCTTTTAGCTCTTTACCGAAAAAAGAATTGCCTAACCCATGATCAAAACAATTGTTTTGGTATTGAATTTATCAACTGTAGACTTTTCTCTTGTTAGTTTATTGAATTTTTATGAGTTTTATTTGTTTTCAAGTTTGTATTATATTATTTTATTATAAATTTAATATTGAAAAACTACTTTAAAATCATTCTTACCTTGCTACTCCAATTTCTTATTCACTAGAGTCTATTTTATAATGATAGTCATTTTTGATTTTTTTAATTACATGCTGTTTCAAATGTGGTCAAATCATATATTTTACCATATGAATTTGAAAAACAATTCTGTATAAAAAACAAAAATATATAATTAAAATTTAATAATCTAAACATTTTTAAAAGAAAATAAAATATTTTCATTTTCTTTCTTTAGATCAATCATATTATGAGCTAACCATTAAATAATGAAATAAAAATTTTGAAAATTTGTACAACTATATTTAAAATTTTACTTTTAAAACAATATATAACTGTTTTACATTAAGCATGTTATTTCAGAACAGTATAACAAGAAAATTGGATGTTTTAATAAACTGGCATCAATAACCAAAAATTCAGCAAGTACCAACAAATTTAATCAGAAACTAACATTCTTTACTGTTTTTAATGGTCATCTTCAGATTATGAGTTTGAAATTAGAACCTAAAAATAAATAATCCTTTAAAATAGATGGTATACAGATATAATTGGTATAATGTCATTTGCATGCATGCCATTGGTTACATAATAAAAACATAAAAGATACAGAAACTATTCCTGTAGGTAAATCCGTTTATTAGAACAATGTCCAGATCCATGTACAGGAATGGAATCCTAGACTATATGAACAACACTCAGTGCACCATTGCTCCTAATAGATATCTGGAAAAATTTCACAACAGGTTGGTTCTATTCTCCAACATCTCTCTTGCTGATACATTATACATAAGCAAAGCCACCATACCAGACCCCATCTACGCCCTAGATCTTTGCATTTGCCAAGGTACACAAACTAGGCACACAGCTACAACCTGTAATGGACAAATCCACATCTCCTACAATATGTATCAAAAGAATTGTCAACAAGTTTATAACTGACCACATTCCCATACCACCACTAACATGAAATCTTTTATCCATCAGCTTAACAACTTAATGTTTTATGATGACAGTTATTTCACATTACTGTACATGATTTTCAATATTTATATCCTTTGATAAAAATCAAGCTGTTCTTTTGTCATTTGTGCAACTTCCTCCTAGAAATCATCCATGTTACAGCCAAATACCATTCTCACATACTGGAATTAGACAATCTTATGTGCCACACTTCTTTCTTTGTGTTTGAAGTGTTAACTTATCTTCAAGGAAGAGGTATACTGATGGGCAGTCCAATTTTAGGCACTCTCTGCGAGTTGATTATATGACTGCTTGAATGCAACATCCTTCCTTCTTTTCAGAAATAAATCCTGTTATACATTGCATATGTCAATGATGCCCTCATCATTTGGAAAAAGAAACCAAACTTACATCAATTTCTTACTTGGGTTAAGCCTATCCTTCAGAATGAGCAGGAAATTTATAACAGGGTACACTTCCTTAACGTTCTCATATTACTCCAAAATGAACATATTTCTACAAAAATTTTTCATAAACCTTTATGTAGGCCTCTCTATTCATGCCAGCAGCATAGCACAATCTTTACATTTATAAGGTAGTCATTTACAGAGTCCTTGTCAGAAGAGCTTAACCCATTCCACTGACACCCATGCCAGAGATGACGTGCTTTAACTCATATTTTAATTAGCATCTCACCATGGCTACTCCCCAAGCCTCATCAAAGGTCTGATTCAGCCCTACCAAATAAATCTTACTTGCTATTCTAAATCAGATGTATGCAATGTAAGAACACTTCAAAACCATAATCCAGTTAAAAGAACAAAAATATTTATTGAAAAACAAATGTTTTCAACCTTTATAAAAATCATCCTCAGGTTCTACCAGTAGAACGCAAAATCGAACAACCAAATAAATTTTAAAATGTTCACTGTGTAAGAAGTTTGCATGTGCAGGAACGTAGTAATAAAATATAAATTAAAATGAATACAGAATAAAAATATAACATATACAAAAAATTTAAATAACTATAGATCAGTGGTTCCCAATTAGTTTTTCCTGCGTACCACTTTAAGAAAGAGCTCAAACTCGCGTACCCCTTATAGCAGAAATTCATATTAAGCCATACTAATATTATAAATGCGAAGGTAATTATGTCTGTCTGCTACCTTTTCACGTCTAAAGCACTGAACAGGTTTTACTAAAATTTGGCACAGAGATAGCTTACATGTTGGAGATGAACATAAGCTACATTTTACTGCGAGAAAATATCTTATTTCCACGAGAAAATTCCATATAATGCGGGCAAAGCTGTGGGTAGACAGCTAGTGATAAATAGAATAAGTTTTTTTTTACATTTATTATCTTTAAAATACAATTTTAATAATAATGAAAATAACATAAGGTTATTTAATTTTGATCTTACAAATGTGCATGATTTTCTTTGCACAACTTTGTAAAATCTGGTTGCTTTTTGATCAGCTTTAGTCTCGAGTCATCTTCGAGTTGAAGTCGGTTACGATGTTTAGTTTTTGTGTTTGTCATGGCCGAAAATCCGCTCTCACAGAGGTACGTTGTGCAAAATGGCGGTAAATATTTTATTGCCGCTTCACTGACATGATAATAATGATAATTGTACAATTAACACAAATTGTGTTAATTGTACAATTTTTGTTTCTTGCGTAAGAATTTCATTTAGGTATTGTCACAAATGCATTTTTTTAATGAAATTTCGAGAATATTTTTAGTTATAAATAAACGAATTTGTGCATTCGACATCATTTTGTAAATTGCCGAATTTTTGATGGTCCATCCATTATTTTTTTGATTGCTTCATCTCATGCATTTCAATTTTAAATCGACCGATTTTAGATTGCCGCACATACCCCTTCAAGCAATTTCGCGTACCCCCAGGGGTACGCATACCACTAATTGGGAACCACTGCTATAGATAATGAAAAATCATAAAAAAACAATAAATGAACTAAGACCAAACTGTTTATAAAACTACATGGTTGCTAAATGTGCTCAAATACTGTCCTCCAAGCACACAACATAGGAGCTGTATCCCTGCTGTTGATAGTCATTCCTCTAAGAACAAACTGGGTCTTATTACATTTATTATACTAAGTGTTCTTAAATCTTACTCACAGCAAGAGTAATGGTAAGTTATACAAGGCTGTTAAATGCAACAAAAGCCTCTCTGGTGTTTATAGAGATAGAAAGAGCTAATAATATCCAGCTCACTTACAAAAGGAATCCAACAGTTTTTCATTACTCAAAAATGCCAAAAATCTAGGAGAAAAGAAGTAGCTACCAGCTGTTTTCTCTATCCCCATTCATGATAACAGAGTGAACTAACACAGAATACATAGGAAAGACAAACTAATCCTTAAACGTTCATATAAAAAACAAAAAAAAAAAAAAATACCATTAACCATCATTAACCACGGCTTACCACCACTGCTCTTGCAGCCTACACTACAGACAGTGATGTCCAGATATTCCTTGATCAAGCCCAACTTTTACATCATACTTCCAACAGGACATACCTCACATATTTGGAGAAGCTGGAGTTATATAAAGCTGTGAGAATATCCATCAGCATCAACTATAAGGATGCAGATCCCATATCACTAGTTTGGAAATCTCTACCTAATACTTCATAAAGAAATTTACATCATTTTTAGTTTCCATATCTTTTATTTTTCCATTATGTAACTGATGGCACACTCAAGAACAACATTAACCAATTATATCTGTATTTCATCAACTTTAAATTATTCATTTATTTTTAGAATCTGTCAATAATTTCGAACACATAATTTGAAGCAGTACACCCTGTATAATTCCAGCAATATATTTAATTAACCAAAAACATTTTCGACCTACTTCCACAGGCCTTCTTCAGTAGGAACATCAAACTTAAATGTCAATGAATAAAAAGAACATTTGTAAATATATTAAACACAATGGAAATAATTAGGTGTACTGCCTCTTTCATTTGGTTACTTCTCCAGTTTTGTTAAATTATTCTGAAGGTGACTGTTAAAAACAGTAGAAAACATTAGTTTTTGATTAAATTTGCTGGATTCTTGGTGTTATTAATGTTAATTTATCAAGTATGTTCATATATTTAAATTATTTGAAATTTGATTACTACTTTTGATTTACATTTGTCTTTCTTTCATTACTGTTCTACAAAGGATATTCCTAGGTGTACAATTTAATGAACATAATTATAAGATTCAAACAAAACAAAGGAAAAAAATCCAATGATATAATCTCAGTAAAAACCAGGATATATCAACTTTCTGACCCGACAGTGTGTCAACAGATGCTTTCTCAGATTCAATTGTGAAACCTTTGAACACATTATCCTTTACTATTTGTTTACAGTCATCTCTGGGAAATTTGTATCTTTGAATACGAGAAGTAGCCAATTTTAATCAGTCATTGCCAATTCTTCAAGTATTTGTGTGCCTTCCTACAGAGTGAACTAACACAGAATACATAGGAGGGACAAACTAGATCAAATGTTCATATAAAAAAAAAAAAAAAAAAAAAAAACAATTGAATTTGTGTTTGTGTGCTTCATTTGCATTTCAGGTGCAACATAGATCGTCCAAATCCAAAACTCTATCTCCTCAAAAACTATTATTTTTGACATGATTGTTCCCTGTGCTTCCCAAAAGGAAAATATTGTTAAAATACAAAGATATGGTAAATTGTAAACTCACTCTCCATAATAGTAATGGACATAATACAAACCCTAAGTCTTATTTAGATATATACTGAACTGTATGAATTTTTATGCTGTCTAATAAATGTTTTCACTGCTTTAAGTGATTTCTTTCAACTGAATCTTGTCATTTCCTTCTCCATCTTCTTACCCCTAGCCTCATATATGAGACCACAACAGTGCCATTCACCAAAAACACTCAAAAACTCTAGTAGTAGGCATAACCTACTTGGTATCAGGAATTTCCAAGTGTAATCACTTACAATCAGTGACAAGTATAAGAAGACCCCAGAAAATATGTCACATAATGAAGACAAAAAAATGTGATCAAATTTTAAAATAAACACACAATATTTATCAAAACAAACAGACAATGTAAGCTGTTTACTTCATTCATTAATTATTTGACTAAATAAAAATTTATATATATNATTCATTTGCAGTTAATCAGGGTTTCTGGCCCATAAGTTTTCCATATCTGGTCTGGAGTTTAGTAGTGACTTGCACTTGTAGAACAAACTTCTGATAACAATCATGTAATGCCAGTCATCTCATCTATTTAACTCCATTCTTAAGAAAATTTTGAACTGAAATCATGACTTCTGGAGTTTGTATATAGTTAATCAGGGTCTGCAGCCCTAAGCTTTCCATATATGGTCTCAATTTTCATCCATATAACACCATTCTCGAGATTAACAAAGAACTAACAGAAGGACAACAGTGAGAAGGTATAGATTTGCAAATTTGAAAACTGCAGAGATCTGTTTACAAAAATATTTGGTAAACTATTATTATTAAATTAACTACTTTCTCTAACTCTGGTTAAATATAAAAATGTCATAATTTTTTCAAATAGTTTTGAAAATATTGCAGACAAACCTATTTAGAAAAATGTAAATTTATTTTTGTTCAAGAAAATCAAAATTACTTTGAAACTTACTTTTATGCTAATGAAAATTTTCTTATTTCAATTTTTTCATCATGATTACAGCATTCAATTAGAATTTGATGAGATTTTCAATAAATCTAATGCTCTTGAACAGCTAAAAAAAGATTGAAGTTTTAACTAAAAATAATTTGTAAATTTTCAAAATACATTTTTTATTTTTATTCATCTTTTATTAATTTAATTGATGAATAAAATAATTCCATACTAAATCTATACAGTTCAACTTAAACTTTTTATAATCAGCTTTGATTTTAATAAAATTTTGTATTTGATAAGAAAACATTAAATATATATATATAATTGTATTATTTACCATAATTCTGTGCTAATAAGAGCATGCTCATTAATGTGAAAGTTTCTTGTTGTTATAAGTAAAACATACTTTCCATATAACATCATTTCACTGCTGTGTCAATGTAAATTAAATGTAAATATATTAACACTATATATTTGGTGATACTATGAGTAACCATTATTAAAAAGAAAAACCCAAAATAAAAAAATTCTTCAAATGCTATAAAAGATTTTTTAAAATAGAGACACTTTTAGGTTCTTTGCAGAATATAGTGCCTATTTTGTCCCATCTATAAAAACATACTCTTATATGTGCAAAAATATGACAAATTTAAATAATTGCTTGTATTTAAATTAAGTACATACACAAGGTGTAGTTTTTAATCATCTTTTAATTTAAAAAAAATCAAATGATTTCCATTCTAGACTTAAAATTCATTTGCAGTTAATCAGGGTTTCTGGCCCATAAGTTTTCCATATCTGGTCTGGAGTTTAGTAGTGACTTGCACTTGTAGAACAAACTTCTGATAACAATCATGTAATGCCAGTCATCTCATCTATTTAACTCCATTCTTAAGAAAATTTTGAACTGAAATCATGACTTCTGGAGTTTGTATATAGTTAATCAGGGTCTGCAGCCCTAAGCTTTCCATATATGGTCTCAATTTTCATCCATATAACACCATTCTCGAGATTAACAAAGAACTAACAGAAGGACAACAGTGAGAAGGTATAGATTTGCAAATTTGAAAACTGCAGAGATCTGTTTACAAAAATATTTGGTAAACTATTATTATTAAATTAACTACTTTCTCTAACTCTGGTTAAATATAAAAATGTCATAATTTTTTCAAATAGTTTTGAAAATATTGCAGACAAACCTATTTAGAAAAATGTAAATTTATTTTTGTTCAAGAAAATCAAAATTACTTTGAAACTTACTTTTATGCTAATGAAAATTTTCTTATTTCAATTTTTTCATCATGATTACAGCATTCAATTAGAATTTGATGAGATTTTCAATAAATCTAATGCTCTTGAACAGCTAAAAAAAGATTGAAGTTTTAACTAAAAATAATTTGTAAATTTTCAAAATACATTTTTTATTTTTATTCATCTTTTATTAATTTAATTGATGAATAAAATAATTCCATACTAAATCTATACAGTTCAACTTAAACTTTTTATAATCAGCTTTGATTTTAATAAAATTTTGTATTTGTTAATTTAGTAAGAATAATTAAAACTGTCCTAAGGTCAGAAAGTGACAAGATAAAAGCAGTAATGTAATACATAAGATCCCTTTGATCAACAGTGTTGGAATGAATTTAAATATATTAGAGTATCACTATTATTTCATTATTTAATATGTACTAGTAAAAATATTACTTGATATTATTTGAATAGCAAAATTGGAATCATTTAAATTAAAATGATCTGAATTGAGATAATTAAAATGATGATGATAATAACAATTATTATTATTTCATTACTTAATATATACTTAATTTATCATTATTTTTTAAATCTTTAATTTACATAAGCTTACCTGAAATTCATTTGGGTTAATGCCATTTTTCTCTTTAATTTTCCATCTAATTTAATAATTTTGTTATGGAAAACACCAAAACTACTTTATTTTTCTATTATTATGTTAGATACTCTCTCCTATCTTTCCAATTTGTCACTTATTAAGACCAACAGAAATTTCTGGAAAGAAAACAAAAAATATATTGATTCTATTTAAATTTTATAATAGAATTTATGTACATTTAAAACATCTCTGTAAATTATATATTTTTATACTAACATATAAAATTAGTATTTTTATCTTTTTATTTTAAGCATTACAGATATTCTTCAATTTATAACTACCTTATTAAAAAGCTGAAAAATATACAGTACAGAAATTAAAGATTACATTTAATATATAAAATAGCACACACCATATTAGAGTTACCAATGAAGCAAAATTGAATTTTTTGAGTCTTTTTAGAATTCAATTTAGATTCAGCTAAATAGAATGGTTTGTTCTATTTATCTAAACTTTAACCACCTTAAAGAAGACAGTTTGTAATATTCAGAATATTACAATTATGTATGCTCACCTATATATTTTGTGTTTTTATCTAAACTTTTCATACACAAAAGACTAAATTTTGCTTACCTGGTAAAGATTACACTTAAAAACATGTAGAATATCACTATAAACATATATTAAAATTGTTTTTATTATGCATTATGTATACTTTTAAGAATTCATTATTATATTGCATTACTAGCTGTTACCTGCAGCTTTGCCCGTGAGGATTTTGCAAGCAAACCCATTTATATTCAGTATTTCAACAACCATAGTAATTGTTATATAACACCTATAAACTAAGAATGATGAGAATTGCCAAGAATCAAACAAACTATTTTCAATTTGATCAATTTTCTGGAACGTTTACAATCATNCTAACATATAAAATTAGTATTTTTATCTTTTTATTTTAAGCATTACAGATATTCTTCAATTTATAACTACCTTATTAAAAAGCTGAAAAATATACAGTACAGAAATTAAAGATTACATTTAATATATAAAATAGCACACACCATATTAGAGTTACCAATGAAGCAAAATTGAATTTTTTGAGTCTTTTTAGAATTCAATTTAGATTCAGCTAAATAGAATGGTTTGTTCTATTTATCTAAACTTTAACCACCTTAAAGAAGACAGTTTGTAATATTCAGAATATTACAATTATGTATGCTCACCTATATATTTTGTGTTTTTATCTAAACTTTTCATACACAAAAGACTAAATTTTGCTTACCTGGTAAAGATTACACTTAAAAACATGTAGAATATCACTATAAACATATATTAAAATTGTTTTTATTATGCATTATGTATACTTTTAAGAATTCATTATTATATTGCATTACTAGCTGTTACCTGCAGCTTTGCCCGTGAGGATTTTGCAAGCAAACCCATTTATATTCAGTATTTCAACAACCATAGTAATTGTTATATAACACCTATAAACTAAGAATGATGAGAATTGCCAAGAATCAAACAAACTATTTTCAATTTGATCAATTTTCTGGAACGTTTACAATCATTCTATAATCGAATCAATATGCAATAACAAATTCAAATTTCAAATGGTTCGAACATTTTTAAAATCGAAATATATAAAGATATTTATAACAAAGTCTCAAATGTTATCAATTTAATACACCTAAGTACTCAATGAAGACTAAACATAGTTGAAAACAAAAAAACGCATCTAAAATAGTACAGTAGAAGCCGTTTTTCCAGATAAGCTTTAATTCTCTCCCTCTCCCCTGCAGGGGAATTTCAAAAAATTCCTTCTTAGTGTGCATTTTCATGACGTACCCTAACTGTGTACCAAATTTCACCTCTTTAGGTTTAGCGGTTTGCTCTGGATGATGATGAATCAGTCAGTCAGTCAGTCAGTCAGGACAAGTAATTTTATATATTTAGATACACATAAATAAATTTACTTTTAATTACAATATATTGAATTCAATAATTTAATACAGTTAAATTGTAATTTCAATAAATAATGTTAAAATAATTATTGTAATTTTTAAACTTCAATTTATAAATTTATTTGTTAATATAATAAATACATCTTACCTGATAATTATTTTGAATATCAAACAAACAGCCAAATTATATTGGACTATTGCAAACCTATTTCCTGCCAAATTACTTAGTAGTTATTTTGCCTTAATAGCTCAATAAAGGAATCTGGCTGTTCATTTGATATTATCAGATTGGAGATTTACAAAATATTTTAGAACAAAATAAAAAAGAAATATTCTTTTTAAATTGTATTTGTAAATGCTCTATTATAAAAGTATTCTTTTTATTGTATTTGTTCTATAATGCTTCATAAATCTCTGAGCTGATGATGTTCTTTTCAGAGAACAAAAACATTTCTGAATAAAATTCATTTTAGTTGCTGAATTTATCATTTTTTTCTAATAATTTTGAACATGGTGTCAAGTTTAAATGCTTTTCTGTTAAGTACACTTTATTTATTATTTAAGTTCAAGTAATTACAGTTTGGTATAGTTTAGAAATTAAACATTTTATACTTTTGAATATTAAATTTTCATTAAATTTTTGTACTTCATTTAATTCTGAAGCTGTGATTATTCATAGTTTAACTTAAAGATTATTTATTAATTTAATTAAAAATTACAATTTATTAATTTATCAGGAAAATTTAGTTGAATTATTTCATTACAAATTTTTTTTTATTTTCTTGATATATAAAATTATGTTGACAGAGTTAATTTGATATAATGAAAATTTTGAATTTTGAAGTAGAATTTTGTAAGACAAACTATCCAAACTCCAAAAGAGTAATATAAAGTAACTATTACGTATGGGATTCATATCATCAATCTAGAGGGAACTGAATTAAATTAGCCTGATGATTGTTGATGACTGTAATATTTATATGACTGAAAACATTAACATACAAAATTTGAAAATTTGTATGATTTCTTGAATGCATCTAATAATGAGTGGACGTATTGGTACTACATATAATCCTAACTTAAATCATCAGCAATATCCTATTCACTTTATACACATTAAGTCAGCTTATAAACTTTGCTTAAGCTTTGTCCTAAAAGCAGGACTATTGAAAGTGATGGTTAGATAGAGCTGACCTCTTTTGCCTTTTTTTCAACAAATCAAATATATAAAGAATGTTTCTTACTAATAAATATCAGTCAAAAATTTTATTTTTTGTTAGTAAAATAACATTATTTTATAGGGAAAGGAACACTACATGGCCCTAAGTTTTCTCCAGGCTGGGGAAAAATTCCTAGCCTCCACTTCTCAACAGCCCTGCTTAAAAGACAAAGCAACATAATATAAATGAAAATGAATTAAATGTTTATTCAATTTAAATTCAAAAAGTTTATCCATTTAATTCACTTTCCCAAACAAGTTTATGCTGATTCGTAACATTATGAGCTTTCTCAGCTATCCATTCTTATATTCAAAACATAATGGACATAAATGGAGAGTACTCAGTATGAACGAGTAGAAATGTAAGTAAAATTGATTCAAAGAAAAAATTTATTTGTTATTAGTTATTTAAAAAGAGAAGATTGATGATTTACACCAAACTAACTTTAATAAAGCCATTTATGTATCATATATAACAAATACGTACTGGACGTAGATTAAGTTGAAAAATAAACTACACTGATATAAATCCAGCAAAATTTAATAAAATAAAAACATTTTCAATCGTTTTTCAACGATCATCTTCAGTTACCAAAATAGAAAATTAAATATAGAACATAAAATTAATCCTCCTTAAATATTAATCCTCCTTAAATATTAATCCTATTTAATTTAATTAATTAGATTACGTCAGCAAGCCTAATATCCAAATTTTTTGATGATTTTGTTATTTGCCTCTGTCTATCTTCAAAAAATATCAGGAAAATGATTCTTCAGATAGAATAAATACTGAATATTTTTGCCATCTTTGATTTGAATTACAGTAATACCCTGAACTTACACGATAGGTGGGACTGAGCGATAACTGTGTAAGTCAAATTTGCGTAAGTCGGGGTATAATTTCGCAATTTGTGTAAAATCCAAGTCAGATGTATGTAAGCTAATAAATGTTCTCGTTAACCTTATCTCATCTTTTGATTCATTCACGGTTACAAGAAATCACCACATAGAGTCTCTCAAGTCTCCGTAGATATAACAAACACAGAAATAAATAACACAAAATAAATTGTAGCTATGTGTCAATTCCACGCAACACGTCCGAACATGTAAGCTGAACAATAGTGTGGGGGGAGTGAGTAATCAAGACTTGCATGGCGCTCAAACAAAAGACAAATCGACGAGATTTGAAAATAGTGTAACTCCGGGTTCACATAAGTCGGGGTAGCGTAAGTCAAGGTATTACTGTATTTTTATCTACATCTAATAAACCAGTAATTTCTATATTCTGAATATATCAAGTCTATACAAATTTATTTCAAAATCAGAAATTAGTACTGTAGAAGAATAAAACTAATCTTTGAGATAAAATAAACCTGGACTTCAGCTATCTTTAATCTAGCAATTAACTACAGTATATTTAACTAATGAATGTTTCAGCTGCATTTATTTATTGACCATCTTCAGGTTAAATGTACTGTACAGTAAAAGTTTGTTTATCTGTCACCTGATAATCCAGTAATCTCTGAAAAGTAGTCAATAATCTATAACTGTTCAATAATAATCCAGCATATTAGTATTCCACAAATTTGAATTTGTTTGAACACATGGTGTGTTAAAGACCCTATGCAATAACATGTTCATTAACATTTTCAGTTTTTCAATCTTAACACAGTATATTCATACACTATATTCTTTTCAGGCTGATTAAAGAGTGTTCATAAACAAATCAGAACTTTAGAAGCATACTGTACAGCAGTATGTACTAAAACAAATGTACAGCAACATTTGCAATGTTCAGATTGCATATTACTGTTAGTTTCCTTGGATGTCTACCTTTTTCATTTTTTTTTTTATTGTTGTTAGCTTTTTGTGTTTTATTAGGGTTTCTTTTGTATTGTTTTTCTCAGGAATAATTATTATAAGTTGTGGATAACTTTACCTTATGTATTCAGAATAAATAAATAAATTTGCTTCTATAAATATATAACTT